TCTCGAACCTGCAACACAGGGCATCAAACGTTGGACGGTTCTCTGGGAGGAAGGACCAGCAGCTGCACATGAGCTCGTATCTGGGGACGGGGAGGGTTAGGGTTAGTTGGTTGGTTATGGGGGAGTTGGGGTGGCGTTGTGTGTGGGATTGTGGGAGGTGAGTTGTGGGATTGTGTGGGGGTGGGAGTTAATGTGGGATTGTTGGAGTTGAGTTGTAGGATTGTATGGGGGTGGGAGTTTGTGTGGGATTGTGAATGGGTGGGATTATGTATGGGGGTGAGTTGTGTGGGATTGTGGGGGTGCGTTTGTGTATGGAATTGTGTGGGGTGTGATTTTGTGTGGGAGTTGAGTTGTGTGGGATTGTGAGGGGGTGGGATTTTGTGCGGGATTATGTAGGGGGGTGAGTTGTATGGGATTGTGGGGGTGGGTTTGTGTATGGAATTGTGTGGGGTGGGAGTTGAGTTGTGCGGGATTGCGTGGTGGGTGGGATTTTGTGTAGGATTGTTGGAGTTGAGTTAGTGCGGTTGTGAGTGGGTGGGTTAGGGTTGCCAGCGCTAACAAACTTGAAGACGTCATGGGCAGACAACCCGGGGTAAGGACTGGCACCTGAAATCAATGATCAAACTCTTTAGATCGATATTTTGTCAACTTGGGGTGGGTGTGGTGCGAGAAAATGAAATCTAGGCTGGACATTTGGAAGAAAATAGGGCTGGTAAGTAGGTCACCAACCAGTTCTACGGCTCAATAAGACCTGCATGAGCCATAGAACTGGTTGGTGACCTACTTACCAGCCCTATTGCCAGGTTCACCCAGTATCTTTTACATCACAGGTACTGTTTGTTTTATCTTGAAGGCTGATCTATTCAGATCCATCACGGTATTCCGTGTATTAAATATAATAGTATTAATGTACACATTTTGTGAAGCCCTTCTGCATGACACAGTGTTATGGGAAGCTAATGCTATTTCGTTGTATTTGTTTGCTGTCTAGAAAGTTTGCTCTCACCCCATCTATCAACACAAAAGTTTATCGTTTGCAATCAGACTGTTGTTTGCAAGACATTCAAGGTGAAGGTTACATGCGCCTGCTTTATGAATTTGCCCAGAGTTACAATCTACACCCCCCACCTCCTCCCCAACTAAAGTAAAACAATAGACTCACCCAAAGATAGCCCCCCCCCTCCAATTCCGTACAGAACACCCCCCCCCCCTAATGTAAACCTATGAACTCACCTAGCGTAACAATCTCCCACAGAAGAATGCCGTAGGCCCAGACATCAGATTTGGTGCTGTGTGTTCTGTCGATCAAACTTTCTGGTGCCAACCATCTAACCGGCAGCGGACCCTGTCAAGTTTAGAAAAACACTTGTTTTAATCTAGATTTATCATTCACCTACCACTTCTGTTATAATCTACTTCACCTACGCCGCTTTAACGTTAACGTGTTCGAATCTAAAATGAAGTACGAAACTTAATGCTTGAAACGAATAAAACAAATTTTGAAGATTCTACAACGGAATCAATGTCATAATAATGTAAGCCATAGCAAGGTTAACCAACATTGGGATTTGCCATCAACTAGCAATATAGAAAGTAAAAAATACTTTCTTTAGACGTAGCGATCCATTGTGCAGATGAACTAGGGTTCATATGTTTCTTGACCTCGGCATATGATGTGATGGCGTGGTCAGCACTAAGCTGCACTATGCCCAATCGTCTTTACTCTCCCCAATGTATTATCAGGTACCCATCAGAGCTGGGTGGATTAATCAAAACCAAGACCGAACTCGAGACTTTGTGGCTGGCCTCCAACGCTCTATCATTCGACCACGTCGTCCCACACCAACTCACAATAGGATGCATTGAAACATAATATTTAGTTTAAATATTTTAACCAAATGCTAAAGCCAACAAATTGACATATGCTTATGTTTTTTTTTTACGGATAAAACAATTATTTTCTGGCCAAATTATGTGGCAACTGAATTGGCCCAATGTTGGAGTTTCTTCCCAGACTTTAAGTAAAACAAGTTTAAAAAACCGACGATTAAATTATAATCAAACTAATGAAGTTAATTAACCGTCAACTTCAACGAATAACTGAAAACATACAGGACACCGTGACGCTAAGTTAACCGGCTATTCTGACAGGTGTGTTGATTTCACAGGACACCGTGACGCTAAGTTAACCGGCTAGCCTGACAGTCGTGTTGATTTCACAGGACATCGTGACGCTAAGTTAACCGGCTATTCTGACAGGTGTGTTGATTTCACAGGACACCGTGACGCTAAGTTAACCGGCTATTCTGACAGGTGTGTTGATTTCACAGGACACCGTGACGTAAGTTAATCAGCTAGCCTGACAGGTGTGTTGATTTCACAGGACACCGTGACGCGAAGTTAACCGGCTAGCCTGACAGTCGTGTTAATTTCACAGGACACCGTGACGCGAAGTTAACCGGCTAGCCTGACAGTCGTGTTGATTTCACAGGACACCGTGACGCTAAGTTAACCGGCTATTCTGACAGGTGTGTTGATTTCACAGGACACCGTGACGTAAGTTAACCAGCTAGCCTGACAGGTGTGTTGATTTCACAGGACACCGTGACGCGAAGTTAACCGGCTAGCCTGACAGTCGTGTTAATTTCACAGGACACCGTGACGCTAAGTTAACCGGCTATTCTGACAGGTGTGTTGATTTCACACGACACCGTGACGCTAAGTTAACCGGCTAACCTGACAGTCGTGTTGATTTCACACGACACCGTGACGCGAAGTTAACCGGCTAGCCTGACAGTCGTGTTGATTTCACAGGACACCGTGTACGAGTGGGCACATTTTGATGCCCAGGACCTCCTGAAGATGACCCGGAGACCGCCCAGTTTTGACGCCACGAACGTTGAGCCCTACCGTCTGGACGGTGTCATGGTCAGGTGGTCCAAGCCAAAGATGCGAGACTGGAGGTGAGTGGTCATTTCGTTGGACATTTTGGTAAGGTGGGTGGACATTTTGTGGACATTTTGGGGAGGTTGGTGGACATTTCGTGGACATTCTGGGGAGTTGGGTGGACATTTCGTGGACATTTTGGGGAGGTGGGTGGTCATTTCGTTGGACAATCTGGTGAGGTGGGTGGACATTTCGTTAACATTTTGGGGAGATGGATGGACATTATTCGTTATTCGAACCATTGAGGGATGGGAGGTGGACATTGCATGGACATTGGGGGAGTTTTGGAAAATTTGCTTTGACGTTTATGTGGAAATAGACATTGTGTGTACAACTTAGTGGTTCTAAAGAAACGAAAAACTTTTAAAAGTTATATGACTTCAATGAAGTGTGTTCTTTTTTTCTTCAAGGTGGAACTATATACCAGGAAAAAACGAAACAAAACTTGTTCTTCCTGAAATCCATGACTATCAACATTAAAGATATAGATACAAGATGGGCTTTTTTAGATTTTAGATATTTGAACGCTTTAATTTTTAAAACATCAAAATGTTATTTTTAAGTGCGAAATTCATCCCCGACGTCTTAGTCAATGGTCTAGCTAAAATAAACGTATGTTTAATAAAACAATCAGTAGATGAAGTCGAAAAATGTGTTTTTCTTATCTTTCTATGGTTTTACTGTCCATTACCTGTCTGTTTCTGTCAAATGTAAATATTTTTTACCAACTTTACAATCGTTTGTGTTTAGTTAGATTAGTTAGACCAACTTAAGAATTACCTATCCTTCTACCCGATGCATGTATTTTATTGTATATTGTATTGTTCGTGGCATAACTTTCAGCCTTTCGTTGTTTCAAAATCCTTTTTTTCTATCTAAAAGGTTTTTGTAAGGTTTTTTTTTCTACCAGCTCTAATAAATTTTGTACGATATTTAGACCATAGCTAAACTATGCGGAGACAATCTAAAATTCCGTAGTTTAGATTTACCCAAACAAAAATGGCAGATGATTGTTATAGCCTATAGACGTGGAAGATGAAAATATTTTAACTGGTATCTTTAAAGATTCCTTTCCAGGTAAATATACATTTACAGTATAAGTTAAGACACTAAAAAAGAACGCAGTCACAATTCTTTATATAAATAATATAGCCTATCATAGGCAATATAAAATATAAGCAATAAAAAATAATCGAAGTGTCTACTCGGAATAAGATTTTTCGGCAAAAGATAGTTCTGCGCATGCGCAGTGACCTATGGCTAGGGTTAGGGCTAGAATGAGGGTTAGGGGTAGGATTAGGGATAGGGTTAGGGATAGGATTAGGGATAGGATTAGGGTTAGGGATAGGATTAGGGATAGGGTTAAGGATAGGATTAGGGTTGGTATTAGGGTTCTGGTTGGTATTAGGGTTCTGGTTGGTATTAGGGTTCTGCGGTTGTAAACACACGCATGCGCAGTACCATCGAAAACATCGCCGCTAAGTAGTAGTTTCTCTCCATTGCGCATGCGTATCGCATGCGTATCTTATTCCGACTAGAATCGGCCAAAAATAATTGGGCCTTCCCTACAACAATCATCACTACAATGGCTACATTAAACATTTTTTATGATTATTGATTATTAGTACATTTCTGAGGCTCGGTCAGCCGGTGTTGTCACTGTTGTTGAGTGACGGCTTACGCACATCACTCAGTCATCACAACGACGACTCTTCTACTTCTAGTAGTTCTAGTTTTCTCCTTTTCTAATTCTAAGTACTTCTAACTAGATCTAACTTCTACTCTGTTATAGTTATAGGGTAGAATATAAGGTAAAATCTTAGTTTAGCGTCGTAAATTCCAACGTAGCTAGTAATGTGTAGTGTGTAGGCTTTTTGATTCGCCGCCATCTTGCGATCCAAACTACATCCGGACTTTTTCAAGCGTACTTGAAAAAATTCGCCGTTCCGATGAATGCTAATTCTAGGCATCAGAATCGAAAAATTAAATATATTCGATACTATCATATGCGTTGAATTTTATTATTTAAATGTTTCATTGATAGTAGTAGCTGTCATTTTACAATACTTGATACTGAAAGCGACCTAACGATGATAGCGAAAATCGATCGAAACCGCGCAGTACCGAACCGCTACTTTCAGAACTAAATTTCAGCTTTAAAAAAAGAGAATAAGTACAGGAAACTAGTAAATAAGTAATGCCAAACCATTTTGATGGATGGAAATGTTGGTTTTATGTGCTTTAGAGCTCCTTATATATGAGATATTGCTCCTTGCGTGAAGTGATATAGATCTACACAATTTTATTAATGGCGGCCGAGTTAGAATTTTCATGACGGCCCATAGGCATGAAATAAAAAATGCGCACTTTTGCTATTTAATAGTGTTTATTGAATTGGCAAGATCTAAGCTTATAAAATAGCTTTTTTATGGATTAAATAAAATTTAAAGCATTTGAATTAATAGTCCCATTCATTAATAGACTCAATAGGGTAAATAATAATTAAAATTTTAAATAGGTCCTAGATTCCTATAGATCTGAATAAATATTGCTCTCCAGTCTAAACAAATTCCATTTAAATTTTAAACTTTTTATTAGTAGTCTATATTTATAGCCTAACCAATGAGTAAAATAAAAATCAAATAGTCTAGAAATAATAGTTAAAATATAGTACTACAGTATAGAGGCAATGGAATTTTTTTTAAAAAAAGTCAAAGATAAAATAGGAACATTTAACACTTTAACAATGTGATCTAAAGTCTAAAGCAGGGGTCTCCAAACTACGGCCCGCGGGCCGAATGCGGCCCGCGAGGTCCTCTCATCCGGCCCTCGGAGATCTTTTTGTCCACGGAAAAAATGTTTGTTGTAGGTGGCTGGGGAAAATTGCCAGCCCAATGATATGCCTGGAAGAAACTCTGGCCCCCGAACTTATATTTGATAGTTAATGCGGCCCTCAGGCTGAAAAGTTTGGAGACCCTGGTCTAAAGCAACAGTAATACATTTTTTTTAAAAGTCAAAAAGAAAACAGAAACAGTAACACTTTCAACAATGTGATTTAATTTTACTTAAAAATAACAAACGAAACAACAGTAATGTTTTTTATATAGAATCTAGTAGGTTCAGATCAGCAAATAAGACAGCTGTCTATCCTTTGGTTGCCACACATCTCGTCTAGTTTCTGTTACACTATTTATTGATTAGCATTCCTTGGCTACTTATTAAAAGTAGCCTACAACTAATGCTACTAATAATTAGATACTTCAACATAATCCTAAACATATCATATTTCAGTATGAGTATAATACCCAGGTATTATTGATGCAAAATTTCAGTCCCACCCCCTTAGTTAGACTTCATTATATGTGATTGTCTTTTTCTTCTAGGATGTATTAAACTTGTAAGTTTCTATTTCCAACATCCTTAAGCATCAATGTGCTAAGTTTTATCTTTATATCATTAATAACAACATAGATATGCAGTATTAAAAGTGACTTGCGACAATCATTGTAGAACTGCACCACACACCTTAATTGGGCTTAATTAAGTTAATTATAAATTCTTTTTCTTTAAATTGATCTTTATTTCACTTGCATATTCCTGTTGTCTACACGTTTTATGTATAATCGAGTCTGAAAAACTGGGCTTTGCAATTCTTTCAGTGTATGTGTGTCTGTGAACACGATAACTTGAGTACAGTTACAGCTAGGTTGATAAAATTTCATATATAAGTATTATATCAAATTTCTAGTTCTGTATCAACTTTTCAGCGATTTCTGATTAACCGGAAGTGGAACTTATTCTACTTTAAATTTTTCAAAAGCCTATAACTTGAGTTCTGTTTCAGATAGCCAAATGAAATTTCATATGTAAGTAAAAGATCTAATTTTCCACCTTCTTTCAAATTTAGAGTAATTTCCGTTGACCAGAAGTAGTAATGGACGCTATTTCCAATTTCTCAAAAATGCATGTGAATATATAAAGTACTAATAATATTCCGCACAATTATACATATTTTGTTTCGCGTTTCCTTGGTGCGCAATTCTTTTTTCTACAAGATTCTATTCTATTTTAAAAAGTTTAAGTACTTAAACATGGATTTAAAAATCATGTCTATATATAGTATATCCCGAGTTGCCAATCCCCTGTAGTGTTATATAAGAATATTCGAGAAAGCTTAGGGGAGATCACAACTGGCTTTTTAACATTACTAGCCTCTGCAGATTTTATGCACATAAAACCATAGATTACCTTAGTCTGTTAATTAAGAATAGTAAGGTGTACTTTTGACCCAATTTCTTTATTTATCTCGCAAGTGACACTTTAGTGAAAGTAGCTTTGTATATTTTTGTTTTAAAATGAACTTACAATCAAATAAACTTCTAAACTATGATTCTAATGTTATGCCGTGTATGATTAAACAACGGTTTGGGAATAATTCTCATGTCCTTAGGTGTGGTCACTATGAAGTCATATACCCCCCCCCCTCCCCATTAATGGCATTTTATTATAATCTTGTGAAAAACAAGGCGTGTTTAGATGTGTTCTGCGCCCAAAGCCAATCATTTGGCCAGATTTATTATTTGTCATGTCGCCCCATATCTTAAAAACATAAAGCGTTGCGCTTTCCTCATTGATGATTGTCTTTTTGTTTTTTTCATTTTTTTAAGTGAAAATATGAATTGTTATGATTGCAGTTTTTGTAACATGGTATACTTACCTTCTGTCAATTTAAAAAGCATGGCATGTTAATTTTGTACAAATATTGTATAAAACAAAAAAAAATTAAGTTTGATTTTATTTTCTACCATAATCCGCCACTCTTAGGCATATACAATACATTAATTATTTTATTTGTAAAATTGTTTATTGATTGTGTTAACTTTAAGCTATCTAAATTCATTTCTAAGATATTTTAATATGCATCTGAGAAGTTTTATTGAAAAAACTTTGTTTTGACTATAGTCACTAGATCTGTATAATCACCACTTTAACATTTAAATATCTAATCCTCAGTTCATTTATAAGAAGCAGCATGGGAGAGGCAACTGCTGATTTAGATTTACAGTCTGATGAGTTTAAAGAATTTTCAAATTCTGAAGATGTGAAGCCACTTCTATCTACAGTATTTTCATCTTCTTCTGACATAAAAACAGAATTATCATTTTTAACTTTCCGTGATATCAAACCAAACTTGACATTTATAGCTTCACAGGATGATAAAACCGTTGTTACGCCAGATTTTTCATCTTCTACAGACACAAAGTCAGAATGTACAACATTTTCCTCTTTTGATGATGTAAAACACCATATGACATTTCTAACTTCTCAAGATAAAACAACAGGATTTTTAATTTTTAAAGATATGGAACCTGCTGTATCAGCAGTATGTACAAAATCTGAAGATTTAAAACCAGTATTAGCAATTTTATCAACTAGTGAAGATATAAAACAAGAATTAGAAACTTTATCAACCATCACAGAATTAGAAATTTTATCAACTACTGAAGATATAAAACCAGAATTAGAAAATATATCAACTAGTGAAGATCTAAAACCAGAATTAGAAACTTTATCAACTAGCGAAGATATAATCCCAGAATTAGAAACTTTATCAACCAACAAAGATATAAAACCAGATTTATGGACAAAATTTTTAGATTCTGAGGACAAACAACAAAATGGACTTGAAGAAAAGCTAAAACTCTCTGAAGACAAAACATATCTGTCTGTTGATCCTCATGATCATCATGAACAGTTTTTTCAAAGATCTAACTTGAATAAACAAGCTCAAGTAGGGGAGAGGCCACTTGGATGTGATGCTTGCCATAAAAGGTTTTCAGATAGTTCTAGGTTAAGTAAACATAAAAAAATTCATTCAGGAGAAAAGCCTCATGAATGTGATGTTTGTCATAAAAAGTTCTCTAATAGTTCTGCTCTAAGCAGCCACAAAAAAATACATTTACTAGTTAGACATTATGAATGTGATGTTTGTCACAAAAGGTTTTCAAGGAATTCTTATTTAGCGAAACACAAAAAAGCTCATTCAGGAGATAAGCCTCATGAATGTGATGTTTGTCATAAAAAGTTTTCTCAGAGTTCTAGTTTATATGCACACAAAAGAGTTCATTCAGGAGATAAACCATTTGAATGTGATGTTTGTCATAAAAAGTTTTCTGAGAGTTCTAGTTTATATGCACACAAAAGAGTTCATTCAGGAGATAAACCATTTGAATGTGATGTTTGTCAAAAAAAGTTTTCTCGGAGTTCTAGTTTATATGCACACAAAAGAGTTCATTCAGAAGATAAACCATTTGAATGTGATGTTTGTCATAAAAAGTTTTCATATAGTTCTAGTTTATATGCACACAAAAGAGTTCATTCAGAAGATAATCCATTTGAATGTGATGTTTGTCATAAAAAGTTTTCATATAGTTCTAGTTTATATACACACAAAAAAGTTCATTCAGAAGATAAACCATTTGAATGTGATGTTTGTCAAAAAAAGTTTTCATATAGTTCTAGTTTATATACACACAAAAAAGTTCATTCAGAAGATAAACCATTTGAATGTGATGTTTGTCATAAAAAGTTTTCATATAGTTCTTATTTAAGGAAACATAGAAAAGTTCATACTGGAGATAAGCCAGATGAATGTGATGATTGCCATAAATATGTTTCTTAAATAAAGCGGCTCCCGACATATTGGCTCCCGATATAAGTGCTCAAGACAAATAGGCTCACGACATATTGGCTACCGACAAATGGGCTACCGGCAATTGGGCTCCCGACATATTGGCTCCAGACCAATGAATGGCATGACCACTATTGGCATAAAAGTAAAGATTTTGTCCTACCTCCAATACCACTATATACTCTTTTAAATGCCCGAATGAAATTGTTTTTCATGAACCAACATTAATTCACAAACAAAGTGAGCCCTTAACAGCTAAATTTCACCAATTCTAAAGTTTTGATAATGTTTAATTTACAACAGAAAAAATCTGTTGCTTAAAAGCGAGCACAGAAGTGTAAATATATGATATACATGATGTTAACATGATAACAGCATTTTGTTTTGATAACCTACAAGCCTACTGGAGGTAGGAGGAAGGTACAGCGTGGACCCTTCTCCCCACACACTGAGTTGGAACAGCCTATAACTGACTCACTTATGGATGTCATAAATAGATGACCCTTAAATTAAAACATACTATATTTTATAATAGATAAACGAATATAAAAATAAGGCCTGCCGAACAAGAGATGCATACGTTGTATTACATAAAAGTGTTGGATAAGCTAACTAAAGAATATTGATGAAGGGGTCCCACTGGCAGGTGTCATATTCAATGAGACCGCTTTGCCGGGAGACTTAGTCTCTACAGAAACGGTATTGTCAGTGGTCCTTTTGTCTGGAGCCAAATTGACAGAAGCCACATGAATGTGATCTTTGTCACAAAAGGTTTTCAAGGAATTCTGATTTAACAAAACACAAAACAGCAGTTCATTCAGGAGATAAACCATTTAAGTGTGATGTTTGTCAAAAAAAGTTTTCATATAGTTCTAGTTTAAGGAAACATAAAAAAGTTCATTCTGGAGATAAGCCACATGAATGTGATGATTGCCATAAATATTTTTCTAAAATTTTTGCTCTAAGCAGCCACTAGTAACACATGAATGTGATCTTTGTCACAAAATGTTTTCTGGCAATTCTGATTTAAGGAAACACAAAAGAGTTTATTCAGGATAAACAATTTGAATGTGATGTTTTACACTTCTACTGTAAGCAAACATAAAATTGTTCATTCTTGTGTTAAGCCATACAAATGTGATGTTTGTCATAAAGAGTTTTCACACAGTTCTACTCTAAGCAAACACAAAAGAGTTCAAAATAATCATTTAGTAGTTAAGCCTTATGAATGTGATGTTTGTCATAAAAAGTTTTTCAGATAGTTCTAATTTAAGTAAACATAAAAAAGTTAATTCAGGAGATAAGCCATATGAATGTGATGTTTGTCATAAAAAGTTTTCTCAGAGTTCTAATTTAAATAGAAACAGATGATTTCATTCAGGAGAAAATCCATATTAATGTGATGTTTGTCATAAAAAGTTTACAGACAGTTCTACTCTAAGCAAACACAAAAATAATCATTTAGTAGTTAAGCCTCATTCAGGAGAAAAGCCTCATGAATGTGATGTTTGTCATAAAAAGTTTTCTCAGAGTTCTAGTTTATATGCACACAAAAGATTTCATTCAGGCGATAAACAATTTGAATGTGATGTTTGTCATAAAAGGTTTTCAGACAGTTTTAGTTTTAATAGACACAAAAGAGCTCATGCAGGAGCTAAACCATATGAATGTGATGTTTATCATAAAAAGTCTTTAGACAGTTTTACTCTAAGGAAATACTAAAAAAATTCATTTATTAGTTAATCCTTATAAATGTGAAGTTTGTCATAAAAGGTTTTCAGACAGTTCTAAGTTTAATAGACTCAAAAGAGTTCATTCAGGAAATATGTCAAATGAATGTGATGTTTGTCATAAAAGGGTTTCTAAGAGTTCTTACTTAAATAAACACAAAAGAGTTCACTCAGGAGATAATCCAAATGAATGTGATGTTTGACAAAAAAAAATTTTCAGACAGTTCTCTAAGCAAACCAAAAAATATTCTTTTAGTAGTTAAGCGTTATGGATGCGATGTTTGTCATAAAAGGTTTTTAAACAGTGCTAATTTAAATAAACATAGAAAAGCTCATTCAGGTGTTAAGCCATGTGAAAGTGATGTTTTAGTAGGCACAAAGAAATTCATATATGAGATTTTATAAATATGATATTTGTCATGAAAACTTTAACCAGAATGGTGGTTAATAATATGTTACATTACTTAAATTGTTGAAGCATCAATAGAATAGAATTTCTTATCTTTAACTCATTCACAATCTGTATATGTTAATAATAGGATAATGTTTAAGTTCTACTTCTAGGTCACTTATATATATTTATGTATATTTGTAAAAATTGCAAAAGGTTCATTGCATAAATTTTAATGTAATTTACAGGTAACAGAAGACTGTTCTTAATAAATTATAATAGTAAATTACCCATTTTTCACCATCTTTGCTGCTAAACATTTATAGTTGATCTTTTTCTTTGGTCTCATCGAGGTGGGGTCATTTACTAACACAACTTTCAGTTTCTAATGCTTGAAACAATAACACCACATACAAGTTAAACATTAAAAAACAAGAACAATAAACCTGCAAAGGTTATGTTTTGACATTTTGGTATCATATTTTTAGCAAAATTGTTGTTTTGATGTGTTTAATTTTGTATTCTTTATTTTTAAAAACACTTTAATGAAAATGTTACTGTAGTAAACTGGTATAAGATTGTAACATGAAATTAAAATTGCTAACTAAATCTATCAAATTCTTTTTATTGTTTTACTACCAATGTCTGTATTCTAACATTATTAATTCCAATAAGACCACTGTGTGTTGAATGCTGGGGTTAATTTGACCCTCTTCTGATTATTTAAATTTAATGCCTTAACATGCCAGGTAGTTGAGGTCAGTGTCAGACAACAAAGGCTTGCTTGGCATGTCATGTAAAGTTAACATTTGACTTTTTATGACAGTATAAAAATTCTTCTGCAAATTATTAGTACATTTTTTTAAAAATATGTTCATTGTTATACTTATTCAACTTCATTTAAAAGCAAAAAGAAATGTAGTGTCTTTCTAATTCTAATTATGGGTACTGTAAACCGTTTGAAAAAATTTATATGAATATATTCAATAGCACATTTTACACCACCTTACACACCCTACATACACATGTTAATATGACTTCCAACACAATTAAATTTTAATTTAATACAATTGTTGAAAATATGCAGATGTATTAACAGAGAAATTAGATATTTTTACTTTTCCTCAGCCTATAGGCTATTACATTTTCCAAGACCACTACCACATATTATAACAATAATGTTATTTGTTTTGCTAGGCCTTTAACATACTATCCATTATTGTAAAAAAAAATTGGGCCTCGTATAGACATATATATATATATATATATATATATATATATATATATATATATATATATATATATATATAGCAAGTATTAGGCCTCTATATAAATATATACTAGCCGGCTCAGCCAGGCACTGCACTGGCCTCTGTGAAAAACCTATCTGTAAAGAACCATGACTTGTATGTTTAGTAATCAGCATATAGGGTACCCGGCTTTGCCCGGTTTTAGGAAATATATTACTTTTTTAATTAACCCGAACCGACCACAAACGAAATTGCAAACATAACACAAATAAAAACACAAACGAAAACAAAAAAGTAAACAAAAACTAATCCAAATGCAAACAAAAACACAAAGAAAACACAATCGCAAACAAAAAAGCACATACAAATAGAAATACTAAAGCAAACCATAACTCAAATAATTCAAATAAACGTCAACATAAATACAATCTTAAATCCAAACATAAACGCAAAGTGCTTACAGTCTAGCTTGGGGCAACGCTGGAACCGCTTGATTAAACTTAGTAAATGACTATAGTACCCTAACTTATTCATAGTCTTTTAGCACCCACTTAAACGAACGTAGGGGACATAGCGAACACGGTAAGGCCTGGGGCGCCAAATAGCACCCTGTCGGGGCACTAGATGGCGCCCTTATTCGATTCAGTTAAAGACTTAAGTAACCTTTCTTATCCATTATCAATTGCACTGTTTAAAACGAAATTATGCACCATAGCTCTCACATGGGAGCCCAGAGCGCTAAACCGAACCCTGTCGGGGCGCTTGAGGACGTGCCTTATTCAAATTAGAGAACGACTATGATACCTCAAGCTTATCCGCAAACAGAAAGATAGAAGTAAACATTGAGTACATTTAGGAGCGGCTTCTAAACTGTTATTGATTACAAATAGTATTTAGTAAACAGTACGTTCAGTGTATACAATAAATTGAAGGCAGTATTTAAAATGTGTTTTACTTATCATATTGCACTTTATCAATCTCCGCTAATTATGTAATTATTTTTTTCCCAACACCAAAACACGGTAATAAAAAGTTTTGTTTTTCCCGCGATGTAAGTTTTTTTTTAAAGGGAAGTAATTGTGTTTTCCTGATTTATCATGAGGCGTTATTAGTGCTAGATAACTAAGTTTGGAAAATGAAATTTGTTTTAGAACACCTTCAATATTAATTTTGTAACCAAATAAGTTTAGATTATAAGCACTTTAGATATATTACATTAGGGCGATCAAGTCTATATTCTTTTACTAAATTGAATCAGGCGCGTCCGCCGGCAAACGACAGGGTGCGATTTGGCGACCTACGCTATCCCGTGAGCACTATGGCGCCTAAGTTAGTTTTAAGAAGAACCCTACAATATTGACAAGGCGGCACACGACATTTGATAATTAAACCGAGCCCGGTTCCGTACGCGGCGCCCCTACAGAAGTGTGGTCGGGGGCTCACGAGATCGCCACTCCACGTCTCCGATGCTTAGGCGGTGAGTGATTAACTGTGATACTACGGTGAGTGATTAGTATACACTCAATGCTTTTATATGCTGGGCAGTAGTGTAGGCAAAGCCGTGCCCCGATAAATATGATCCAAGCGCAGGAGTTTTTTACATTTAAATTATTATTTTAAAGTATTATTTACATTTAAATAACTCAGTTTGAGAAAACAAGGCCATTCGTCTAAGAATATATGACCGGTAAAGCAATTATTAAGACTTTATTTGCCTTTTATGCATTACTACACCTTTCATCCGATTGCCATGAAACTTTGGAATGTTGCTGAGAATACTCCAAGGAAAACAAAATTTTGTACGGGTGGCGCCCCGGCAGAGTGCAATTTGGCGACCCGTGTTATCCCGTGAGCACTATGTCGCTACGTTAGTTTTAAACAGTGCGATAGAGAATGGATAAGATGGGGCATTATAGTGTATATATATATATGTTACCACTGCCGACAGCGCCCAATGTTACCACTGCCGACAGCGCCCAATGTTACCGAGTCTATTTACTTGTAGTGCCAAATGTTACCGAGTGTATTTACTCGTGCTATCTTTGACCAGCACACAACATCGGCCACAATATAGATACTCGGAAGTGCAGGTTTACATTGATCTCTTTATTACATGAATCAATAGAAATGCTCCACATAACAATTCATCAATGTTCCACAAGAATATAATGAACCAACTGACCCCCACTGTCCTCACTAGTCCTCACATAACAGAATGCACGTGTCCATCGTTCCTATTCTCACATAACACAATACGTCTACACAGTTCAGCCTCCAACTTAGTTCTCACAACCTAATACACGTATCTACAGTTCAGGCTTCCACAACTGTTCTCCTCGGTTCTACCCCTTCTCGTCTTGCCGTCCTATCATATATCCCACGTATTAGAAATACTTCCCATTCGTTGCATCAGATTATGAACTGCGCAGCTCTATCGTATCGCTTCCCAAAATACGCCTTGGCTTTGTGTTCGTTATCAGCCTACCACCTGCACTATTGCGTCAGACTGTAATGCGTTCTTATCGTCTCTAGTAACTACACTAGTTACATCCACCCCCGCCTTTTTTTGTGTGTTTTCAACCACAAACAACACTTGGCAGGTGCACTCCTTCAATGTCAAACGCAACACCGTAAAACAAATTTACTGTTCCACTCACTGTCAATGTCGTCACATTCGTATAAGATTGACAGTTATCCCTATTTCAACATATCAAATGTGTCTACCTCATATTCCTCAGACACAAAGTAGTTCTAGAATTCACATCCACCTTTTTTCGTTTGGTGTCTTCACCAGTTCATTTGTATAGCTTTTGAACAGTCTGTTCTCATCCCAGCGCGACCATGAAAGAATTGATGGTTGCTGACAAAAAATTTCGTATTCTTTCTGTTTCTCAAACTTCTCCGCGGACCACTTATCTGATGTTCTACTGTCTCTCTGCTTCTGGGAGGACCGAGATCCTCATTGTTGCAGTTATTCTCCACTTGTGTATCGCTGTTGTGCCGTTTATGGTGACATGGTTCCGGGATGAGTATGTGAATTTCCGTTGTAGTTTCCGGTTCCCTAATTGTCTTAGGTTTCTTTGTGTGTAAATGCTCTTCTTGACTATGCCAATATTTCTTTAATTGAGTAATATTCGCCCACCGATCCGGTTTGGTGTGGTTGGTGGGTCTTATTTTAAAGGGGCCACCGGCTATTTTAGGCATCTCCACGACTTGCCATATCTCCTGTCCCCAGAAGTCGTGGATTTTGTTTCTGCCTAATGGGTGGCTACGCAGTAATACTTTGTCGTTCAGTTGGAGTGGCGGGTCTTTTGTCTGTATCCGCGGTTCTCTTCGCCGTGCTTCATGTTCTAGTCTTTCTTGTACCACCCTGTACATTTCTCTTATTCGTCTCATATGTTCATTCACATATTCCAGTGCGGTGTATGAGCCAGTCATGCTTTCCTTTTTTCCTAGGAACAAGTCAAGAGGGAGTCGAGCCTCCCGTCCGAACAGTAACATGTGTGGCGAAAAGCCGGTTGTGGCATGGGGGGTGCAGTTGTATAGGTATACCAACTCTGGGAGAAAATCAGGCCAACGTTTTTTCTGTTCAGGTTCTAGAGTACGCAGCAAATCATGCATGCTGCGGTTGAACCGCTCGCACTGTCCGTTTCCTTTAGGATTATATGTGGTTGTTCTAATTTGTTGATCCAGTAGTGGCTGCACAGTAGGTTAATTACTTCTGACTCAAAGGCCCTTCCTTGGTCAGAGTGTAATTGTCTTGGTATGCCATATTTGATGAACCAGTGTTCTATTAAGACCTTTGCCACTGTTTTGGCCGTCTGATCTCGTGTGGGCACCGCGACAGTCCATTTGGTGAATACGTCAGTCATCACCAACACATGTTCCGTCCCATCCGATGATTGCTCCAACGACGTAAAGTCTATAGCCACAATCTCTAGTGGTTTTGTCGCCAGTAAGTGTCCTGATGGCTGTCTCATTTTGACAGCTGGCATTTTCGCATGCTGACACCTCACACAAGCCTCACAATGGCGTTTGACCTCCATCTCCATATTGGGCCAGTAGCACCGCCGTCGTAATATTTTGTGCGTCCTGTCCTGACCCTGGTGTCCCGCCCTGTCATGTGCCAACTTTAGCACCTTTTCTCGTAACTGTCCAGGCACCACCACCTGGTGTATTGTCCCATCTATTTGGTCATGAATTCTCCGCATGAGAACACCATCCTTTATACTGAGACGGTTCCACTGACTCAGTAGTTTCTTTGTTTCCCGACCAAACTGTTCTCTTTCCCTTCTTCTTGGGAATTTTTGTTCCTGGACGTATTTCAACAGCGGCTCTAACCCACTATCCGTTCTCTGGGCATCTCGTATCTCTTTATGATTAAGGCAATTAAAATCACTGATGTCCATATGTCGGGGCTCTGTGGATATGTGCTCCACCCCGGTCTGCCCGTTTTGCATCACCTGCACCCCGTGAGGGATATCTGTTGACG